GCACGGACTAACAGATTTGCAAGGCAGCTCAATGGAATTCAAAAAATTAAATAAATCCCTCCTTTCCCTCTCTGCCCCACCCCTCTTTCTATATTTCCGGGCCAAACCGGGCTAAAACGGTTGACCCATTAACCCTTGACCCACTAGCTCGACCGGGTCCGGGTCAACCCGCGGGTTGACAACCTTGATCCCGGTACAAATGCAGAAATTGGAATGAAAAAACACGCCTCAACATCGGGAGACCAAGCTACTACTAGACGACCAGATTCATTAATACCATAAAAAAAACAAAAGGAAGAATCAAAACCTAATCCCCGTAATCTACGGGAAACTACTCTCCGACACGATCTTGTTTATGAAAAGAACACAAGGTACCTCTTATGTAATAGGCGTCGACGAGGGTTGCGGTCGCTGCATCTGCATAACCGACGACTCCCCATTGGATCCTCCCTCCCATTAGCATTTCCCTTCTTCCTCGTATAGGCAAAAGGCAGCGAGGCGGGCGACAAAAGAAGAAAAAAACGCTTCTTTTATGGGCGACAGACAGATCTAGGATTGACCCATCAAATACTCTTCGAATCCTCAACACACAACTCGCTCTATTCCTGCTCTAGAGCTCCAAGGAATTTGGAGTTAGGTCGAATTTCATTTTTGGAGGCCAGCTTGATAAGAAAATGGAGATTTAGGCGGGAGAGGGGTGGAGAGAGGGGAGGGGAGCGACACCGAGAGACCTTCTGTTGGAAATGAATAAGTGAATAACTTTTGAAAGCTATAGTTCCCAAAGTAAAATACCATATTGGTGGGAGAACTTCTACCAAAGGGGTATAAAGATTGAGTTCTCTCACCTAAGGGCATGTCCCTTGGGGGTGACCCACTTTTGTGGGACAGGGAGGACCTAACGGACCACCACACATACGCGCGCGTGAGCGTCGGTTTGGTGGGCGAGCGGATAGGTGGGTCGACCGGGGACTGACTTATATTTTTTAGAGAAATTCCGAATTAATTATTTATGAATTAATTATCTTATATTCTTAGGGGTTTCGGCTACTATGTCGCGAACGTCTTAAAGAAAGCGACCTAGTCCGTGACTCAGCTCCAGATTTGGTAACCGTTCTCCTTGTTGTTTCGTTCATAACAATTTTAAGATGTTCGGCTGCTGTTATGGCCACTGAACAGAACAACATGGCTGGATTTGGTGTTGTTGATATAAATCGACCCTTCCGCTTCATTGGAGTCAACTTCCGTCGTTGGAGACAAAAGATGGAGCTCTACTTGACGACCAAGAAGTTGACACACTGCCTCACCAACATGCCCGTCGAGCTGCCTGAAGAAGCGATCGATGAGGAGAGGCCTGCTTCCGGTAGGGAAAGGGAGCATGACTTTTTGTGCAAGAACTACATCATCAATGGCCTGACAGACAATCTCTACGACTATTATGCGGACAAGAGCAAAACCGCAATGATGGTATGGGATGCACTCCAAAAGAAGTATGACACGGAGGAGGCTTGGCCAATAAGTATGTTGTCAGCCGCTACCTGCGCTATCAAATGGTGGAGGACAAGTCTGTCGAGGTTCAATCACATGAACTTCAGAAAATAGCTCATGAGATCGTTTATGAAGGTATGCCTTTGAACGACCAGTTTCAATTTGCTTGCATTATAGATAAGTTGCCCCCTTCGTGGAAAGATATTAAGAATATGCTTAGACTTAAAACTAAAGAATTTTCACTTGAAAGTTTGATTACTCGCCTAAGGATTGAGGAAGAGTCCTGCAAACAGGATATGAAAGAAGAGGTGATGGTTGTCAATGATAGACGACCCAGAAGATCCGCCCCAACCAGAATGGTGTCCCTCGGGCAACCAAAGGGTTATGGTCCAGTCCTCACAGAATGACACTTCGTTTCCCTACTATAACTGCGGGAAACTAGGTCATATGGCACGAAAGTGCAGAAACAAGACTAACCATGCTGTTGGTGGTCATGATCACGGATATGATTGCTGAAGTCAACCACACCGGCAACCCAGAAGGATGGTAGCTGGATACAGGTGCATCGAAGCATGTATGCAACAATCGTGCTATGTTCAAGACATACACAGAAGCACCTGTGACAAGAAAGTGTTGTTGGGGACTAACCACACCACTACGGTTGCTGGTTCTGGGGATGCGGTTTAATTAAGGAAGTAATTATCTTCCTAATTAATCCGACTTATTCCCCAAGTAAGAGAGTATATTATTAGGGGTTTCGGCTCCTATAAATAGCCGTCTCCCCACCCCCTCTAAACACACAAAAAAACGAGCAGAAACACGAGAGAGAGAGAGAGAGAGAGAGAGAGAGAGAGAGAAAGAAAGTGTGCAAAGAGCTCCGGTGTTTGCACAAAACTGCCGAGCACAACAGGAGTTGTTTTATCTCGGAGACGACCGGTTGATAGTTTGTCGTGCGCAACAAAGGCAGTGCCGCTAACGTTTTAAAAAAAGCGATCTAGTCCATGACTCAGCTCCAGATTCGATAACCATTCTCCTTGTTGTTCCGTTCATAACACCTTCTGCCGAGGCTTGATCTCCGACCGTGGTTTGACGAGGCCGACAGGCTGTGGCGGGTGGTGACGGGGGAGAATGCAGAGATGATGACGTGGTCAAAATAAGAAATCTAATAAAATAAATTGTAAGATTAATCATTTTGATTTTGTTTAAAGAATTATTTTTATTTTTTAAATACGTGACATCCATGTCAACAATATGTGCTTACTCACTAATGGTCAACTGTGTTGACCGTCCAATTTGTTGGTCAAAACACGCGTCCAACCAAACTAGTCTATATTGAGGGCATAATAGGAATTTCTAAAACCATGGGTAAAAGTTGACTATTTGGGTATAGTTCGCGCCAATTTAAGGTATTAGCCCTAACTTAGATAGGGTCCAAAATAAGGTTTATTAGGGGCATTCAAATGGTTATCGTGGTAATTACCAAACCAATTAAGCCTAAATTTTATCAACCATGAAATAAAATGTCTTAACCAAAACGTCCAAATTATTGAAATTAACAAGAAAACCAAATTAACTAAACCAAAGTTTACTTGGTTTGGTTAATCAGATTAGCCAAATAACATAACATTACATGAAAACAATTATCTTGTTAACGAATAAACCAAATAATATAACATAACATTACTTGAAGAGTTACTGAGATGGAGGCAAAATTGTCAGTTCGATTGTCTCTCCCTCTAAATCTAGGGTTCAATATTAGGATAGGGTCAGTAACCAATGGTTACTTACCTATAAGTAACTAAATCTGGACCTTTAGATTTATGTGGGTCCAGAAAATTCAGATCTAAGGGTTGTCAATTAAAGACATTTTATTTTCCCTAGTTTTCTTAATCGATTCTTATCTTCTTCGTTCTAACTCGGATTTCAATTTTTTTTCTGCACAGATGGAACGAGTTTGTTGTGCTCTACAAAATGAGATCAATTTTCAATATATTTCGAGAAACTTTTTTTACCAACAACATACCATATGGTAACTTCTTCGTTTTTAAGTCATTTTTGAAAACGTTTGCTCAGAAGGAACGAGTTCATCATATTGGTATTCAACCTTCTTACCATATTGGTATGTTCATACCATCATGGTATGTTTTCTTACCATATGGTATTAAATAGGAGCATACCATATGGTAATGACTAGTAAAAAATTATTCAATTTTTTTTGTACTAAAAATATATCAAAGAGGATATCATTTTAAAGAGCATATTTAATCTGATTTATCTGTGCAAAAAAAATTAAAATTTGACTTAAAACGAGAGAGAAATCGTGCGTTAAATATTAAAGGGGAAAAGATAAAAAACATTCCAAGAGAAAGAAAATGCTGATATCATGCTGATGTGGACATGTTACTCATGGTTACTGACCTAATCCGCTCCCATATTTTGATGAGTGAGAGTTGGAAATGGGGATTAAGAACAGAGGACAACAAACGTTTGGTTTTGTTTGGTGTAGAGATGCCCACTTGTTTGGTTTTGTTTTGGTTAGTACATAGGAAGCTCATTTAATTTTTGGTCATAATGTTTTGGTTTGTTGTGAACACTGAAATAAAATAGAAAATCATGAAACTTTGGTTTGGTTGGACTTGGTTGCATGGAATTATAAATAATAATTATGTATATTAGGTGTATTATTAATTGGTTAATTGGTTTCATTGGTTAGTAGTGTTGAAACCAAACGAAGCCACCTAAATTAAATAAGCTAAATTGTTTAACCAAACCAAACCAATTATCCAAATTAACCAAAATTAAATTAACCGAATGCTCTCGGTTAATATAACTACCACGGTAACTTCACCGTTTGAACACCCATATGGTTTATGCATCAATCCATAACTAAATATGGATCTTTGAATTTGAGTGGGCCAGGAAAATTCATATATAAGGGGTGAGATTTAATGACTTTTATTTTCTCTAGTTTTCTTAATCGGCTTTTATCTTCTTCGTTCTAACTTGGATTTCAATTTTTTTTTCACAGATAGAACGATTTTGTTGTGATCTACACAATAAGATCCATTTTCAATGTTTTTCGACAAAAAATTTCATACCAATCATTTCCACCTTCGTTTTTAACTCGAATCTTGAAATTTTGTGCACAGATGGAACAAATCTTCTTAACCTATTGGATCTACAAGTTTTGAGGAAAAAATACGGGACTATAACGTACCTTTCCGTACCACCCTGGTATAGGGTGGCAACTAGTAGTACACAATAATGAATGTGGTAATGAATGTAGTAAATGACAGTCCATATATTCATATTATCATGTATTTCAACCATCTTACACTGTTATATCCATACCACCATAATATACTTCCGTACTATCTTATGTAGTACCAAACGGAACCACCATGTTGTCGACTAGTGCACAATGTCTCAGTTTTTTTTTCAAAAAATATATCAAAGTGCATATCATTTTGAAGAGTACAATTTATCTGATGTGAAAAAAAAATTACGACTCTGATGTGAAAAAAAAAAAAATTACGACTTAGATATAGCCTGTTAAAATTTATAGGAGAATTTCTAGGAGAAATGATTAGAAGCTTTCTATATATGGTGATGTGGCGCTGATGTGATAAATTCTATAGGGTTATTGACCACAAAATTATTATGCACTTGATCCGCTCTCTTGAATAGTACAACTATCACAATTCCCAAATTTTAAGTGGTACAAGTACCTCAAAATGTTTTATAGGTAAGGACCAAAACATCTCACAATGAGAAACAACATTAAAAGAGTACGGCTACAACTCCTGAGAATCTTTCAATGATTCATTCTTAGAGAAGCTCCAAAACCAAAGCTGATGCCCCACCACCTCCATTGCACACGCCACCGACGCCATACTTCCCCTTCTTCTGCCTCAGCACCTACACACATCACCATTGCAAACGCATAATGAGCAAAAACTTTGTAATACTACACATAAAATGGTGAAGGTTTGATTATGGACGTACTCCCAAAAGGGTAACCAAGATCCGAGCTCCGCTGCATCCCAGTGGATGCCCCAGGGAGACTGCACCGCCATGCACATTGATCTTTTCCTGGAAAAAGGAGATCAAGAACAAGGATGGACAAGTAAATCATCAATTGATATCCATGTGGTAGACATCTTAGGCGTCATGTAAAAAGAGAGGAGTGGTGGTACTTACTGGGTTGAGACCGAGCAGCTTCTGGTTTGCAAGGGCTACAACCTGCAGAAGTAAAAGATTAAAACTTGTTTAGTTCTGGATAATTAACTACTTTATCTCATCTGCGGGAAATGCAGAGCTAGATCTTACTGCAAAAGCTTCGTTTATCTCGTAGTAATCGACTTGGGAAGCATCCAATCCAGCATTCGAGATGGCTTTAGGTATGGCAAGAGCTGGAGCTGTGGTGAAAAGTTCTGGTGCCTGTATAAAGCCGATTTCCAAAGAAAATGGTCCAGAAGAACTTAGAACAAAATGAAGATCAAGGAATATGGTGAGCTTATAGCATCCTTTCTTGGCAACATTTTGAGGATTATTACCTGTGCAGCATCAGCATAACCAGAGATCTTTGCAATCACTTGTAATCCGAGGCTCAGTGCCTTCTCTCCGCTAACTAGAACTAGAGCAGCAGCACCATCACTGGCAATTCAGAAGAATATTAATTAAGATTATATGTTCAAGATTTGCTAGGATTACTGAAAAATCCAATTCAGCTTATTTGGAACAGTGGCTTGAACCCCTTAGGCTCACAAATTGATACACAGTGGAGAAGTAAATAGATGAACGAAATATACTTGCATACCATAACAATTGTTCAGTATAAAAAAAATTCAGCCCAATTATTCGAAGCTCGGGGATATATAAACTGGAGTTTAAACAGTAAACCTGATGCTAGAAGCATTCCCAGCTGTAACGGTTCCTCCATTCGGTTTGAAACTCGGTCTGAGCTTCCTTAATTTTCCAGCATCAAACTGTCAAAACATGGAAATAATACGGAACTTTAAGAAGTGAAGCACAGAAATCGGATGGCACAACAAATTTCACGCTCTTTACAATCATACATACGGAACTCATGGATAAAAAGGCTGAAACCATATCATAGATTTTACCTTCCCTAAACCTTCATCTTTATCAACAATGGTTGATGGCTTTCCCCTTCCACCAGACACTTCAACCTATGATCAAGCCTAATTAACATAAAGCATCCAAAATCAATGGAAGAACAACTATAATCAAGACTAGATGTCTAACCGGAACAATTTCCCACGCAAAGGCATCAATGTCCTGTGCAGCGATACCACGCTCAAAACTTTGCACAGCATAGTCATCCTGCATTCATCAGCAAAGAGAAAAACCAATTGAGGGCACGGAAAGAAAAAGTTAAAATCATAATCTTCAGGCAGACTGAGAACAAGCAACAACTCAATACCTGCTGCTCCCTTGTGATGGAATGCTGTTCTGCACAAATTTCAGCACAGTTACCCATGCCAACATCGTTATAAACATCCCATAATCCATCCTTAAGCATCCCATCTACTAGTGAATCATGCCCGAGTCGGGATCCCTTCCTGTATACAGCAGTCATACTGCATTGATCAGACTACGTCTCGAATGCTTATTCCCAGAATCATAAAAACGTTTTTAAGACAGTAACCTTGCTTCTGCCAGATACTTGGGTACATTCGACATGCTCTCCATGCCTCCTGCTACAACAACATCGTGGATCCCTAACTGAATACTTTGTGCCGCAAGCATCGTTGCTGCAAACATCATCAGGCAAGCATTGTATCATTCCCGATACACTTTTTGCATTAAGATTAAAATATAATGACAGTAATCAAGGTAAACCCGTGCACACCTTTCATGCCGGAAGCACAAACTTTGTTGACCGTCGTGCATATGACTGTATTGGCGATTCCTGCACCCAATGCAGCCTGCCTGGCCGGAGCCTGGCCCAAATTCGCGCTGAGTACATTGCCAAAGAAGACTTCCTGGACTAGCGAAGGATCGACATTGGCTCTCTTAAGTGCAGCTGCAAACCGAGGTAACAACTACTGAGGACGAAGGAAGATTAAAGTGGGACATGCATCACACAAGAACACATTGAGTAGTTGATACATTTACCTTGAATGACTATAGATCCGAGCTTGGTTGCAGGAACAGACGACAATGAACCAAGAAATCCACCCATTGGAGTTCTTGCAACTCCAACAATGCAAACATCTACACAATATTTGTCTCAACCATCAGTAAAACAAATCAAGAGGGTAAACCGCTTGGGGTTTTTCCTCGAGTGAAGGAACTACCTTTGGGCTTAATATCTGAAGCTGGGGCCATGGATATGCTTCAGATGGAACTCTGCAGTCCTACAAAAGGAGGAATCAACAGAATGCAGAAAGGTCGTTCTCAGCTTAACCTAACACACAGAATCCGATGAAAAGGGAACAGTCATTCTCAGCTTTTGCTGTCAGTCAGGAAAAGGAAAAGCATCCGCCACTTAAGAAAGAGTCCAAAAGGAAATTAAATTCACTTGCAAGAAAGAGTTCGACTTTCACCCAAAACTTGGACTATAAGTCCAATTCAGCAGAACCCATTGAAGCAAAAGAGAGCGGGGGAAACAGGGACAGATTAAAACCCGGAGGGATTAGAGTTCGCCGGAGATCGGGGGGAAAAGAATGAAGATGAATAATAACAATGTTCTTGTCATTACCTGGCGGTGGGCGGGTAAGTGATCGGCGGTGAGAGTGACTGATCTGGGAAACTGAGAGACTGAGACAAGTAAGGGACGGAAATGGGAAAGTGGGGTTTTTCTTTGTAATTAACGAGTAGGTGTTAGCACTGACTGAGACTGACTGTATATATAGAGGCGAGCGGGTGATGGGATTTGAACATCAAACAACAACTACCAAGATTCCCCGGCGGGCGGCCGTGACTGATCGTTTAGTGTTGTGGGACGCAAATACGGACCATATTTGTATTTGTTAAAGCTCCCACCAATGTAACGTTTTTCTCACCTGGCGGGCGCCCAATTAATAATACTTGGAAATATCAAAAGCGGCCCTTTGTTGAATGTTCATCAATGATCGTCTCACGTGCAGCACTAGAAAGAAAGAAAGGGTGCACTGGCAAATGTATTTGGTCGATGCTGTGATATTTATGTACCCATCCGCTATCGCAAATGTGTGGTTAGGTGATCAACATGAATCAGTTCGTGTCGTATGTACACTTGCTCCTATGAGCATGGAAGTTGAGTTGTGACGTGCACAATGTTACTTCGTATTTTCAAAATAGTATCGTACCAATAATTTGACCAAAAAAATTATCTTTTGGAGTCCAAATTGATATAAGATTTTACCAATACCATAATAAACAAGTCTTTGGACAAGAATTAGCACATGCATGTATAGATAAAAGAAAGAAGGGGAAAAAGCCCAACAGACCATCCCTGGCTAATTTCGTTGATCTCACTCCCACAAAGAGCAATGAGTTGCCATGTGCAAATAGGAAAAATCGACATTTCTTTCCCATCTTCTCCTCCTCCAGTGCATGTCATCAGCAAACCAATATTAAAAACTAAAAACACAAGAAAAAGCAGACAACTTTTAGAGGAATCTTGTTCATGCATTTGGTTTTGCAGAGAAGTCACATGCTTTGCATTTGCTGGTAATCACAGCTTAAAGTTTGGGGAGGCCAAAAGAAAATTTTAATTTGTTGTGTAAGTTGTGGTTATAAATTAGATTAATATCCCCATGATGCTTGCTGGTATAAATAAAAAGGAGCTAGTAATTTCGACTAGCAGAGTCTAGCTTCACGATAAAGAGTAGAGTTTTATGATGAACAACAATTATCTTATTATTATTGTGTAATACAGATATACTAATCATAAACCGCTAAACCATGGAAAGAAGATGTAAGAGTAAAAGAAAAGTGTTTCCATGACATTCATGTACAATTTTGTGTTTCCCCTATATATATCATTCTAATGTGTTGGTGAATCATCATCTTGGTTCTTGATGTGATGAATGCTGGTAGGATTGTGAGAGAAAGAGTAAATACAGAAGAAGAAGACTGAGAGCAATGCATCCTGGTTCCAGCCAGTTCTCTGTCTTGCTTATATCATCTTCTCAAATTTGTCCAGCTTTTTCACCCTCTGCATCGACCTTAGAAGCAATGCTAAGAATACTCCTGCAGTAGATAAAGAAAACCGGTATCACGGTCAATACATTTCATACAGACAGAGTGTAATTTGAAGCAAAGTGTATCTACTGATCAAAGCAGCAGGGAAAGGAAGGAAACAAGTTATGTACTGATCAAAGCAGCCAACCAAAGGAGTTTGTTTAACTTGTTATATATTACCTGCGCCTACAAATGACCCATTGGCAACAAGTTGGCTTCCCTGACTCCCGAACGTCACCCCAAGGTTCACAAGGGTGCCTCCTAACACTGTGTACATTGTTGCCATCTGCAATATGGTTGCTTTCCTCGCCGCTCTTTCAGACTGCCAAATACCCACCACCAAAACAAAGATTGATTTGATACTTAACAATCATTCCTGTCACAGAATCAGCTAGATTCCCAGAACCGGCTTCTGGATATTCCTCAATGAAACTTCTTCATCATGTTATTTGAAATAGCGAAAATATGACTAATCGTTCGACTCCACAACCATCTCATTCATCCAAATTCAAGATTACCTCTAGAACCCGGACGCGAAGTTTCAAGTCTCCCGATTCGAGTTGCTGCACGAACTCTTCTATCCTCTGGACTCTGTACGGCATGGACATTGTAGAACTTCTTGCCTGAAGAGATCACCACAACACAAATTGACATGTAAACTTCTGTTAGTTAGCTCCAAGGTGAAAGGTGGTAGAAGGATGAGCAGAGTAATCCGAAAGTTTTAGAGCAAGGATTGGAAAAAGAGTAGTACGTACATCGTTCGCTTGTTTCCTTATCTGTTCTACTAGTTGTGTGCCTGGCCGTTGCTTTTGTCTGATATCCAAAAGCTCTTGAGCATAAGGTGCAGCAATCTTCACAAACGAGAAATCTGGGTCGAGAATGTATCCTATGCCTACATGGAAACCAACAGTGCGTGGATTCTTTTGTCAGATTTTCAATATATTACTTATTATTCTTAAGGGAGGTTGGATGTTTGTGAATGGCCAGCAACCTTCAAGTGTTGAGAATGCCCTTATGACGAATGTGAATGTTGATGGGAACCGAAATGGTTGATCTTGAGCTATTGAAAACAAATCCTGCAAAAACAGAAGCCAAAAACAAGATTCAGAACCTACAAAATTTCAAGCTTTAGGTGCGAATGCATGTATATACATATATATACCTCTCCAATGGCTGATAAAGTCTGCTGCTGATCAGGTGTCTGGCCCAACAAATTGTCCAAGAAAAACTGAACAGATCTCCTAACCTGTCCATTTGACAAAGGAGAGTTCCTTATGATAAGCAATGAATGGCTTCTTTCAGAAGACTTTTATTTCTCATTCAGAAAGTCGACATGAAAACCTACCGAAGACAGGTCTCCAGTGGGCTGAAGCGCTCCAAGATCGATCAGACACTGCATAACCTGAAAATTTTCAACTGATTGTGAGGAGAAAATCCATGCAATAACTAGATGATTCGGAGTTCATAAAACATTGAGGCAACGAAGCAGACCTTTCTGGCATCTTTCTCATAAACAGCATAGAAAAGTTCGAGCAACCTTTCCCGGGTAAAAGGCTTGATCTCACCCATCATGCCAAAGTCATAATAGATGAGAGCTTGATCGGTGTCGACTGCAAGATTCCCAGGATGAGGATCCGCATGGAAAAAACCGGTTCTCAGAATCTTGAGCAACAAGAAAGCCACCAGAGCACAGTTAATAGACATTCCAGAAAACATAAGAACAATCAGCTGGGCATTCCTTAAGCAGCACTTCACACACCTGAATCAAGTATGCCTCAATGGCTCGTGAGGAGATCTGGGAACGGCTGAATCCCCTTGAATCTAGCTGATCCAACTCGTTTATCTTAACACCTGTGGCCAAAAGTAGACACAAATTAAGCATAATAGAGCTTAGAGTTCAACATGAACTTCCTAATCGAATTAATTTTCGTATGCACCTGGCACATATTCCAAGGTCAAAACCTTCATGGCTGTGTAATCCCAGAATACCATCTACAATGAGCCAGACAAGCATACCAAGTATGAATCAACCAAACAAAAGAACACTACCATCGTAATTTCATCAAGAGTGAGCTCAAAAGAGAAAACATAAACTGGAAAAACTGTTGGTAAGAAAACATACAGGTACTCGGACCCACTTCACATTCCTAAAATCTCGGCGGAATCTATCAGCATTTTTTCCTTCATTAATGTAATCAATCTCCTGGTACAAAATCCTGAAAACCATATCATGTGCTGAATTAGTAGACAGCATGAGGAACTTTGCAGTTGGGCAAAACACAATGTGATAATGCCCAAGTAAGTCAAAGTTAACTCACTTGGCACATTCCTCATAGATGCCAACCCAATCTTTGGTTGGACCACCAAAAGACTCACTTCTCTGCAAGTATTCTGCAACTATCTTCATATTATCTGGAGAAAGCGCACAATATATCAATAAATAGGCCATCTTCTTACTTCCATTTTTGAGGATTAATCAGCAAACACTTGAATCTAGGATATGTAGACAAGCTGAAGGTGAACAGAGGAACATGGTACTAACTTAGGTCAATGTCAAACAGCCTCTTGAGCCCAGGCCTTTGAACTTTGATGACGACTTTCTCTCCGTTATGCAGGATGGCTCTATGCACCTAAAAGACGGCATGGATATACAGTCAGCATCCAAATTCACCAGAGGTACAATCATATCACGAGACCCCACTATAATAGCAGTCTATAATCGGAGGCTTGATATGTTCTCATTGACTTCAAATCACAAAACAATGTAGTACTAGCACATATAGCTACGAATGTCGCAAGCAGGCTTTCTGCAATTGCTGCCCAAATGAAGGCAATGAACATAAAACAAACACCTGACCAAGACTAGCGGCAGCAATAGGCCTGTCCTCAAACTCTTTGAACAGCACGTCTATAGGGGCTCCGAGTTCTCGTTCGACAAAGTTTCTCGCTTTCTTTGGTGGGAATGCAGGCACTCGATCCTGGTATCAGGATATAAACATGAATACTCAAAATATCATTTTAAAAATCAAGCACTCCAGTTCAGAATGGTCAAGAACAAGGCACCTGCAACTTGGCAAGCTCATCGACAAACTCCCTGGGGAAAAGGTCCGATCTCGTTGAGGATAGCTGTCCAAGCTTTATAAACGTGGGACCTAATTGCAATACTTTCTCCCTTAGCCACGCGGCAGTGTTCTTCCTCCTTAATTTCTGCTGATCTTCACTGAAACTTCCGAAATAAGCCCACTTAGCATTGTCAAACATGATACGCAGTCGAAATGCGATGAAGAATGACCAAACATCGATGTTCCTCTGCACATTGTTGTAGTTCTCATTCGCCCAGCTGAATCCTTCGTCTGTAGGGAGATCCTTTAGATTGAGAGGCGGAAGCTTCTCGTTCTCCCTCTTCGCGTATCTTGGTACTATTGAAGAAGCACTAGGGGTTTTCTTAACTATGCTCGAGGTACTTCCATTGATGACCTGTTTTTTACCATTCACTACCACATCTACTTTTGCACTTCCATTTGGTGCCGCCCTTCTTTTAACCACATCATTCACCGGCACCATTTTCACAGGAGGTCGCCGACCATTAGGGCCTAGCTTCGAGGCCGGGGATGATTCAGTCTGTGTCATTCGCACTTGAAGCAACCTCGAATTTCGGGACTGATAATCACGGCTGTCAACTAACGCTGGAAATGAGGTGGCAACTGAACTGGAGAAGCTGAAGTTCTCCAAGATCCTGCTGCCTTGATTCATCGAATCCCCATCGCGGCAATAGCAACTGTGTGAAGCTAGTATTGCCGCCATCGAATCGAATAATCAAACACCTCCACAAGCTGTAAATAAGCCATTGACATCATTACAATGGAAGCATAGCTACTCCTAACACAATACCAAGATAAATTATTGATGGCGAAATTCTGCAATCTCATTCGAATTAGAGCTATTGATCGCCGAATAAAAAGAGATATAAGGAACAAACCGGAGAAGTACAACAGCCAAGACAAAAAAGATTGTAACTTTCTCTCACTTTCCTGTAGAGTTTCAGAGGAATTTCTCGTTGACCAAATTGGAACTGGAAGAATATGAGAAAACAAACACATACCCAGGATACCAAACGACCCGATTTAGATGCAGATGCAGAAAAGGCGTCAAGATTATGCAGATTAAACTGATGGGCGACCCCCGAAATAAACAAACTGGAAACCTGCTTCTGTTGAAAGGTGACTGAAAGAAAGAACGGAGCGGAGATACAACAGTCAACAGTACAAGAGGAACCCTTAGAAAACTGAAACTTACTAAATAATGGAAGAAGGTCTCTGTACTCTCTCTTATTCGCGTGTGTTGGTTACCAATCTCGTTGGAGTCCCCACTGTGACATGAAATTCTGTGGGCAGACCAGATTCATACATTGCTGTCTGAAGAAGGATCACCGAATTTCTTTCTTCTTCTTTTTTTTTTTTTTTTGTCACTAGGAGGATTTTTTTAACGGTATGACGTGTCTTGTTTTTAGACAGACAAGTCGCAATATTGTTTGCGGTTGCGGGTAACTTGGTTGGTCCGGGTTCAGTGGGTTTGTTGGGTACTTGGTAGATGGAACCTAAACTTGTTTTCCTGTTTGACTTTGACCCAGCCAGGCAGCCACCGCTACACTTGTCAGCTGAGCTGGAACTCAAATGCATACTTGTACTTTCTTCTTGTTCTTTCCTTTTGCCCTGCCGAAAGTGTCAGCAATTAATAAACTCATTACCTTTTATTTCTGAGTAAATGTCAAATCATCCAAATTCATAATAACGCCCAAAAAAAAAAATTCAAATCCAAAGGACCTGCGGATCTGGTGCCTAAAAAATTAGGCTAACAAAGTCTGGTTTTCCATAAATCTGACACCCAAATCCAACATCCAAACTACCCCCAAGTCTAACTAGAGACACCCTTACACTTGAAATTAAGTCACAATAACTTCAACCACCAAGTGGTGGTCTTGGTGGTAAGGTAAGAGGATTGGAACAATGTGCTTACGGGTTTGATTCTCACAACCTACTACTCTCGTAGAACTTTCTTGGTGACTACCGACAGAGTGTATGCTCAAATCACCCGCTAACATTGATTCACTAGGAAATTAAATGGAATGAGGTAGCCTTAAACACATGCACCAAGCTCTCTTTTCAAAACGAGTCCAACTAAACAACCTTGAAAGTCTAAAGCTTGTAGAGGGTATAAACAACCAATACCTAGCAATGGGAGTTCACCAACATCCAGCCCTTCTTGAGTTCCAACCTTGAATTTGTCATCACCTAGTATTATCGACAAAATGTGCTAAGATGTAAGAACCCATTTCAAGTTAATGACATGCCCATTGAGTTAACAATGAGCAAACATGACATTACAGAATCGTACATGCGTTAAGGTCATTTAAAAGCCAATGAACCCACGTAGATAAAAGTTAATCAAAATCACAACAAGTTAATTTCTGGCTGGTCTCAAATGTTACCAAACCTTGCATGAACCACATTCCACTAGCAGACCTCTGGCTTCCCTTTCTTTCCTGAGAAACAGTAAATCCCATCAACAACTAATCTTAATAAGAATCAATCAAATCCAATGTTCGGGAAATTGTTTCAGCAATGGTAGAAGAGCTTACCCCAGGAGAAAATTCATGGGTGGAAAAAGGAGGAGTTTTGAAACAAGCACCACCTTCAATCTCCTGTCTAGCTACCTCCAAGAAACTGGCTACCGCAGGATCAAGCTCTGAAACAGATTGAACAATGCAAATGCTTTCGATCTTCTTCCTGTGCAGCAGATGTTTAGCTGGACCATGTTTCCAAACAACCACAAATGCACATGAACACACTTCTTCTCCATTGACAACCGAATGATCTTTATGAATCACCTAAAGATTAACCATCCGAATTCATGAACAAATTCTAAACATTAAACCACAGATTAATCAGAGCACAGCTACTCATCCATTCGAGTTTTTTAATCGAAATGGTGTTCCCAACGGAAACTAGGGTTACAAGGAGATGGAGAGGGAAAACTGAAGAAAACGATAAAGAACCTCTTCAATGGTGGCGTCGTAGAAGCGGTTGTCCAAGCCGTCGGCGGAGTGAGAAACGCAGACCAGCATTCCTTTCTTAGCCTCCCGGCACTCCCAGTCTTGCAGCTGATGAGAAACAGGCCTGAATCGAGCTTCGAACTCCTCGAGGTCACAGGCAGTGACAAACCTGTCCGGCTTGAAAACCAAGTCTTCTCCGTCGCCGAAGTTCTCGAACTTCACCGTCAACTCCTTCTTCTTTCCATTGAAAATCGCGCGGACGCTGTACCAGGCGTCGTCGGAAGGAGCATGGAACTCGAGGTTGTATCCGCCGGCGGAATTAAGCGGCGGGGCAGACATCGATTCGCGTGGCGGTTCGCTTTTGGTGTGAATGGCTCTCGATTACTCTTCTAGCACAAGAAGCCGGCGAAACAGTCAGGCCTTTTGGGTTGGCAACCAGCCCGGCACCCAACGAAATCGCATTCCCTCTTGGCTCGATTCAGAGAGTCCCTGCAGAATCTGTAAGAAGAAGAGGAAGTGTTGCCGTCGTTAGGGCTCCCCGACTGAACGACGAACCTCTCCCTCCGGGGTAGTTATCATAAATGGTCATAAAACTATTAACTTTGTACAAAACGGTCACAAACCTTTAATTTTGCACGTTTTAGTAACATATCTTTTGACTAATAACAAAAAGGTAATTCCGTCAAACTCCATCCAAAATTCTGTTAGTTTGATCCAGTCAGATGTCCCATCAGCATCCACATCAGCAAAAATAATTAATAAAACATAAAACAAAAATCAATTAAACCCTAATCAACCCACCACCCCAACCCAACCCAACCCATTCCTCTCTATCTCCTCTCCCTCTCCGTTGTCATCTCCGCACAGCTGAGAAAGATCCGGTGCTATGTCTGTGACAATGCCAAAGCCATCATCTTCTGCAGTGCCGACCGACAGGGTATATAAAAGGAGAAAAGCTTTGAAAGTCTCTACCGAATTAAGAAAAGCTTCTGCCTCAACTCCGACAAGTAGAAAACAGAGTATGAGGGAAGCGGCCGGGAAAACAGTGTGGCAGAGGCATGATCTAGTTTTGGCATCCATTGGTATTGATATCTGCAGCCAAACGAGATTCATGATCCTGTTTCCATCCGGGAAAAACAATGTAATGTAAAATTTCTAGAATCAAGCATAAAGGATTGATTTTGTAGAGTCTGGAAAGAGGGTGGTTCTGTAAGTGGGTTCTTTCATTTTCTTTGGTGGGTTCTCTGCTTCCTTGCTTAATTCCTTGATTATGGCATAATCAATGAATGGTTTTTTTTGCGAAAGACAGGTTTGGGACTATGTTTATTTAGCAATTAAGAAAACCTTCTGCCTCGACTCCAGCAAGCAAAACCCTTGCAGCTCCGCCGACATCGCGTCGTGGACCTTCCACCACCGTGAGTGCGCGACGTCGTTGGCGAACTCGCGGAAGATCTCCGAGATCCAATTGCAGTCGTAATCTCGAAGAGGTCGTTCTTCTTCCTCTTGACCTCTTTTGTTGTTGCCGATCCAGAAGTGCTTCATGAAGTTGAGATGGCGAGGGATTCGTTGCCATTAGGTGAAGATATCGTTCGGATAGCCTTGGTTGCCGCCGTTGTAGGATTGAATCTCGTTGATGTGCTCCATCAGTAGCAGGAATGGGCAATTGGACGGCTGCTTTCGTGATGGTGGCGGAGAGGGAGAGGAGAGGGAGAGGAATGGATTGGATTGGGTTAGGCTGGTGGGTTGGGTAAGGTTTAATTGGTTTTTATTTTATTTTTTATTAATTATTTTGCTGACGTGGAAGCTGACGGGATTGCTGATTAAACCAAACTAACAGAATTTTGGATGGAGTTTGACGGAATTACCTTTTTGTTATTAGTCAAAAGATATGTTACTAAAACGTGCAAAATTAAAGAATTGTGACCGTTTTGTACAAAGTGAATAGTTTTGTTACCATTTATGATAACTACCCTCTCCCTCCGTGACTTTTCGTCGTTGCTTCTTCCTCGGGTTCGTCACCGAGAGGAACGCTAGTTCGTTTGACAGCGTGCAGGAGCAAAATTGTAGTTTTGGACCTGCTCTGTGACCGGTTTTTATTTTAGGTAAATTAAAAAAATAAAACCCACAAACGACCCGTTTACTGTATAAGTAGAGACCTTTCAATGGTCATTTAGACTCATCTTTACTGTAGTAGCTTGGCGATGAATCTGGTGTGGGAGGGTGCAGGGGACCATCTGGTTTGCCTGGTTGGGCCTGGTCTCCATCGAACTGCTGATGGGATCTATTTAGTTGGCATTTTCACGTCTTTTTAGACGGTCTTGGTGGAGTTGTGATGCTCTCACCGTTGGTCACAGGGATCCTTCCATGGGACCGGATCTTTTTGGGGTTTTTTTTAGTTTGGAGGGGGTTGGTCCCTTCCCATTTTGATTGACGTGACCCCATTTGCATTCTGTGTGTGTCAGGAGATATTTTGTTTTTCTTTGGCTGCAGGAGAGGGAGAGACTGATGTAACCCGTTTACTGTATACGTAGAGACCTTTCACTGGTCATTTAGACTCATCTTTACTGTAGTAGCTTGGCGATGTATCTGGTGTGGGAGGATGCAGGGGACCATCTGGTTCGCCTGGTTGGGTCTGGTCTCCATCGAACTGCTGATGGGATCTATTTAGTTGGCCTTTTCACGTTCTTTTTAGACGGTCTTGGTGGAGTTGTGGTGCTCTCACTGTTGGTCACAGGGATCCTTCCATGGGACCGGATCTTTTTGGGTTTCTTTTTGTTTGGAGGGGGTTGGTCCCTTCCCATTTTGATTGACGTGACCCCATTTGCACTCTGTGTGTGTCAGGAGATATTTTGTTTTTCTTTGGCTGCAGGAGAGGGAGAGACTGATGTAACCCCCATCTTTGCTTTCATTGAAAGGTGGAATTCTTTTTGGCGGTGTGTTGTGACAAGCTCGGTATTTTTTGTTTTGTGATCATTACACTGCCCTGAGAGCCATGAGGGACCTGAGTGCTTGGGTTATGTGCGAGGTGTGGTTTGGAAAGAGAGTGGTTATATTTCCTATTTGTTTGTTTGCCCCCAAACCGACCTCACTTTCTCACTCTTTGTTTCCGTTTTTTCGCTTTCCGATTCTCTCTTCTGGTTGTTGTGTTCTGCTGCTCTGAAAGTCTCCATGGATTCGACTCTCCTGTGTAATCTCCGAGGCTCCAGTCGGGATGTTACTCTTCGTCTTCGTCTACTCCACATGTGGCTTGCTAAGACGCCAACGGGTTCAAGGGTTTTTAACCATTGCTGTCTATGGGTTGATCAGATGGTAAGGACTCAAAACTTGGTGAAATTGTTTGGTTGGGGTTGTTTCTTTTTCTTCCGTTTGACGATGATGATTTCCTTGGGTAGTTGTTTTCCCTCTTCTCATTATTTGCGTTGTAGTTGGTATGATCCTTTTTTGGGATCGATTGTGGTTTGCTTGGGACCTTTCTATTGTTGCTGGTTGGTTTGTTGATCTGTTTTCTGATGTTCATGGGTTGCATTTTGCCTGCTGCTGTGCTGTGTAGGGAATGCTGATACAATCTTTTGCTGACCCGGAAATGGTTGCGGATACAGAACGTTATCTTCGAGTCGGCACCATTTATGTCCTCAGTCGATTCGGCCTGGTCTCGGCGAAGGGACTTTATAGAGCTTGCTCTTTCGATCTTACCATTAGGGTCACAAGATCCACGGAGTTCCGCCTGTGCACTCTGCCAGCAGCTGATTTTCCTACTGATTCTTTTTAAGTCATGATATACACCCAGCTGAAAAATAGATGTGGAAATCATGTTGTTCTTACAGGTTCTTTTTAACCATCGGTTACCCTTTTTGTATGTTTTGGTCGTTTAGTGTGATGGATATTATTATCGTAACTTATCTTGCGTTTTTTAATGTCATGCATGTTTTGTTCAAAGATGTGTTTGGGCGTTTGCATTCAATCAGTGGGATTGGACATCAGATCACATAGTCTGGTCCCACACCCAAGCAAATCTTGATTCTTGAGAATGATGTGTATGTGTTTGTTGAGTTTGGGTTATGTTAGTGTGCTCTTGCTCACCTATGTTTTGTTTGTGGCCTGATTGCAATTCATTGGTCGTTTCTCAGGGGTGGGACAGTTGCAATCACTCTCTGGAGCGAAATGACAAGAATTCTTGATCGTGTTGCTTTGATCCAAGCAGATTTAATTGAACCAGTTATCGTCGCTATTTGGGAGTCTCATGGTTTCTTTGGTTAATGGTGTGGCTCTATTAGTTTGCTGGGTCATTTTTGTTGTGTTTGGTTTTTGCTGGGTTCTAATTCTTTGCTTGCTGCAGAGAATTATGTGTGCTCAAGTTCATCAGCAACTAGGATAGCCGTGAACCCCCAAATTCCAGAAGCACTCCACCTGGCTGCTCAGTCTGCATCTCTTTGGATTTTGCAATCACATTTTACATTTACCAATTGTTTGGGTTGCCCATTTGACACATCCTGCTGCTTTTTGGGTTGTTTTGTCGCCAGCTTTGGAATCGCACGGAATCCTGTGGGTGAGCTTGCTATTGATTTTGGTACAGCTGAGGAGGCAGCGGCAGATGCTCAAGATAGGACCAAGACTATTGGTGACTTGCTGGACCTTTATCATGCAGGAGCATCTGTGGTATGCACTTTGCTTACATATTATTTTGTTGTTGTGGATTTGTATCTTTTATGTGATGTGTGGGGTTGGTTTTCCGCGTGGATGTTTAGGAAACAAAGTACTGCTGCAGTGGATTTGTTAAGTCAGTCGAGTCTCGAAGTCCATGGTATTATACATCATGTGCTATGTGCACGAGGAAGTGTTCTACATGGAGGGGAACTGGCTATTGGTGTCCTGAACATTGGGAGATTTCTGATCAGCAGATCAGGATTGGGTATGTTCCTGTTCTATTAGTTATTGTTTGTTGCTTTCTGATACTTTTTCTGTATAAGTGTGTTTCTTCGTGTAAAAATTAATTAATAGTGCATGTTTGTTCTTTGAATAGTTATAAGATTCAATTAACTTTGAAGGACTCAACCGGGAAAGCTCCATTCATTGTTTTTGGTGCTTCTGGGAATGCTTTGACCCATACAACTGCAACACTATTGGCACAGAGGTATCCATATAGCCCTGGTCAGCTCCCGCCAGAACTGAGCGCTTTGGTTGACCATTACTTAAAGTTTGAAGTGAAGCTACCCATGGTGCCAACCAGTGGGATCTCAAGTGGAGAATTTAGAGTTTTGAGGGTCTTCCCAAATGTTGCTGCTGGGGTCCAGGTGCTTGCTGAAATTCCACCTGCTTCCACTCCACCTGAAGCAATAGAGGGTGGTAATTCCTCAAAGCAGGCTCGCCTTTCCCAAGCCAGTTCTCAGTCGTCATCGGGTGTTTTATTGGGGAGCCAGCAGGTTGCTCCTGGGAGTTCTACTCTGGCATCATCGAGCAGGTTTTCTATCTATCATTATGTCATTGTACATTTAGTTTTTGGCCCCGTTCCTATCTACAGATTGTTAATGTTGTGATTTCCTTTGACAGTGCTGCAAAGGGAGAAGCTAAGCTTTTTGAACCTCTCCCCCAAAGTATCAGTCCGGTTTTTCGAATTGGCCAATCTGTACCTGAAATGCCAAGGTGGTTATTTTGAGAACTTTCGATCGTTTCTTTTGTTCATGTGAGCTTTGCTATTAAGCTTGATTTCTTTCTGTTTTACATTTTGCAGTCAAGTTGTGGCTTCTTCTTTGGTTGTCAATACCAATGTAGCTGTCCATCAGGCAACCACCGATTCATGTGCTCTGCATGGTGATTCGACGGATGTTTCTCAGGCTTATGCATTGCCGCTGGAGCAAGCAGATCATGAAGTGACTCTTGAGGCATCCGGGGGATCAACTACTGAAATGGTTGTGTCTGCTGGTGTTATTGCAACACCTTCTCTAGTGGTGACTAACGAGGGCTCAAATTTGGTCAACCCATCTCAGCTGGTGACTTTAGGTTCCTTGGATTCTCCTGCTGGGAATAAGGAGAGTCCGCAGAGTTCCTCTCCATCAACTAAACTGTGAGCTATTCAGCTTCTTTCCTATCTAGGTTTATGTTCCAAGCAAGTTTTTGTATGTTGCTAATTTGTGTTAGTCTGAACTCTCCTTTGGCAAAGATTAAGCTGGAGAAGCTGGATGATAAGCCATCAAAGGATAATGAGGGTGATTCTCAGGGTTCTGCTCCATTTACCATTGGAGATTCGGGCACTGGAGTGAGGACGAGCAAACGCACACCTGTCAAGCGTCGCCTTTATGATGCATAGAATGTCCTCTCCAAGCCTTCAGCAATACTTTTGCGGAATCAACAATCAGTTTTGGTGACATGATCATAATTGCTTGCAAAAAATAAAGTTCATAGTCTGCTCTAATATGGTATTGTGTTTGTACTATGTTGTGCAGGTTGGTTTGGATGTGTTTCATGATTGGAATCTTGTTGCTTGGAGTTTATGGTGTGTTTGATGTACATATTAGTTGTCGGTCATGTTGTCCAGGAGTAGTTTTACTTCCAACTTTATGAAGTTGGAGTCTTTTATTGGGGATATCTACCCTTATTTTGTAGAAAGCAACTATGTGGTTGATGGAATCCACGCGAGCAACTCACTCTTGCCTTCAATGGAACTTTAATTTTAACAACTTAAAACAAAGTAAAACGGACCAAAGGTGCAATCTTCACGGGGAAGAAGGCTCGATCGGTTTTGAAGCGAAGCTCGGCCACGATTGATGTGTTTTCAATCGATACGAAGCAAACACGAAGCTGGAACACAACCAACAACGTAAGGGTGTGATAACTCACGACTTTTAATTTATTAAACTCTGTCGATTACACTACAAGTTGAGGTTTTTATAGACCTAGCTACGTCTACAACTAACAAGGAATTTAAAACATAATCTAACTCAAAAAGGAATCAAAATCCAACTCATAAACACAACCCGTGTCAAACAAGGAAAACAGGGCTGCCTTGGAAGGCAAGTAATGATGTGTCTCCATCCCAACTTCAAGGCTCTCGTTCAGAACCTTCCTGGCCTCGTTTGGGTCAGCCAATCCCTCGTCACTGTAGTAAAAATTGCAAGCTTCCATGTGTAATAATCCTCCAACCCTGGTTCCACTTCCATCGTCGTGCAAGAAGCCCCAAACCTGCCTTCCTGCACCTGCTTCCAGACATAGTAGAATTCTGGCAGTTTTGAGCTGTCCAGGTAGCATGTTTGAACGACTGGAACACAGCCTTCTGGACCTCTCCTCGAGCTACAAAGCTCATCACTGGATAGATGAACTCTTTATCTTCAAAACGAGCCATCCCATCTGCATTTCCATTGAACCATTCAAGAGACACAAGGCACCAAAGTAGGCTTCCTGACTCGGTTTCAACACTTAGCCAAAATTCAGAACTTGTCGTGTAATTTGAAACAGCTTCTTCCTCCAGCAATGGTGATGTGTGGGATGATCCAATTGGGATCATATCACTAAATCTATCCCAGATTCCTATCAGGCAAGCTCAGATAATCCAAGGCCATCTAATTCTTATTCTGTTGGTCATAAGAATGATAAAGTTGTGTCAGCACGCAGACCTTTGTGCAATGATATATTGAATATAGGGAAACCAGAATGCACATGTCAATACTATGGAGCCATGTTTTGGTATCATGAAAGGCTTGATCGTCAACGAAACACATCTAATCCGGTTTATGTGTTGTGCTGCCAAAAAGGGAAAGTTAGTGTTCCTTTTTTGCAGCAGCCTCCTCCATTGCTTGCACAATTGTTGGATCTTAATGGAGGACCGATGTCTAAGCATTTTAGGGATAACATACGGCCATATAATGGATCACTGTGTTTTACCTCTTTTGAGCCAGAAAATGAACTGGATCACAGGCTGGCCAATTTTGCATCTCGAGAGACGATGTTGTTGCCTGAGCTGTTGGCTTCATTACTGAGGATGCTTGATGAAACGAATGTATTGGTCAAGACCTTTAGGCAAATTAGACAGGACCTGCAGCATTCATCCACTTAGGGGTGGCTATACGGTCCGGTCCGGTTAAATTGGCCCGAATTGATCCGGTCCAGTCCGGTCTTTTTGGATATATAGAGACCAAAGCTTGGATTGGGTACGGTCCAATTTTGACCCGGTCCGGTCTCAATCCGGTTTTGACCTGTTTTGACCATGTTGCAGAAAATTTAGCAGCATATACCTATTTTCTTGAAATGTAGACAACCTGTTTGTAGCAAAAATCAAGACAAACATGGTCCAATACAAAATCACAAACATCATTGAGGTCTATTACAAACTCAAAGTCCAATTCAAACTTCAAAATAAAAATAAAGTGCATCACAAGTTCACATCTAAAGTTTAGACATCAAACACCAAATTCACTCCAATCTAACAAGTTCACCAAACCATTTCTAAGGAGATTTTGCGCATGATTTCAGAACATTGAGGGTTCCTTTCACCGCCGGATCAATTCTCTGTCTGGGGATCAACGGCCGAGAAGGAAACAGGGGAAGCAGTGTGGAAAACTCCAGAGCATCCTTCAATAGCAGAGTCGAAAAACCCTTCTTCCAGCAGCTCCGCTTGGAAAAGTTGCAGCCTTTCCTTAGCTCCATCGAGCCCAACTAGATGGGCTGTCTTCTTTTCATCACCTTTTTGTTTTCCCCCCCAAAAAACAGAGGAGTGAAGTCAGAGTCGAAAACAGAGGAAAAGAAAGAAAGAAAACAGAGTTCGAGCAAGAATTACTCATTAATAAAGTAAAACTATTTACCCACTGCTGCTAAGTGCTCCCCTCCAATTTTATGAGTTGGGCGGCTGTTCCCCAATAATCGACGGAGGGCGACGAGATTGGACGGAGGGTCGGAGGCTTTTGGACGGCTGGTTGAGAGCACTGCCTCGCTGGGTCGGAGGCTTGGAGTGGAGGCACAGTCGTTGCTTCGCGCGGAGGAGAATCGGAGCGACAGTCGCGCGGAGGAGATTCGGAGCGGATGAGGCAGGCGCAACAGTCGTTGCTTCGCGCGGAGGAGATTAGGAGCGGAGGTGGTGGGCTGGTCGCGGTCTCGCGGTCGCAGAGGAGCACTCGCTGGCCGGCGGCCGCTGCGGTCGATTTAGGGTTTGGGTCGGCGGCGGCTGCTGTGCGAACTGCGAAGTTGGGATGGGAGAAGGCGAAGGGCACTGCCGAGTCCGACTGCCGAGTGTGAACGATGGAGGAGAGGGTCAGAGGGCGACTGGCGTGAGGCGTCTGGGCAACCCTAGATGGACATTGGACTGGGCCGGCTTGGGCCGCTGTGGGTAGTGACTAGTGAGAGTGGGCTTGTCTTGGCCCATATGGGCTTTGTCTTTTGGGTCTGGTCTGTTTTTTATTAATCCGGTCTTCCGGTTTTTACACGGTTTTGACCCGGACTGGATTGGTCCGGTTATTTTGCTAATTCTAAGACCAAAGACGGGATTGGATTGTTTTACATCCGGTCCCGGTCTTAAACGGTCCGGTTTATGCGGTCCGGTTTCCGGTTTTTTATCCGGTCCCGGTCCAAATGGCCACCCCTACATCCACTCCAAATCTCCGGCTTAGGATTTTTGGGATGGAAAGCAGAAATCGACAATATGATCTGCCTACAAGTAGTGACGTGGCTGCTATGATTCCAGGAGATTTCATTCCAGATAGAAAAGACAGAGATATCATAGTAGACCATAGAGATGAAGGACTCAAGAGAATTTCAAGTGTTAACCCCAAATTTGAAGGCTTCATTTTCCATTGTTATTCCCATATGGAGAAGATGGATATCATCCCTTGATACCGTATGATCATAGTTACTGTTCAGTTTAAGCTAAACGGAGGTTTGTTACTCAGCAGGATTATTATGCATTTCGACTGCAATATCGCATGAATGAAGGACACACGCTGGTCAAGAGTGGGAAGGCTCTTCAACATTACTGCGTCGATGCATTCTCAACAATTGAACTAAATCAACTTGCCTTTTTACGAAGCAATCAAAAGGAGCTTAGGGCTGAAGTTTATCAGGGTTTGCAAGATGCATTCTCTAGGGGTGACATGGATGCTGATAAGTTAGGACATGTCATCATACCTTCTTCGTACACTGGTGGTCCGCGGTACATGCAGCAACTATATTATGATGCAATGGCAATATGTCAGTTCTTTGGAAATCCTGATTTATTCATTACATTCACATGTAATTAACTATGGGAAGAAATAACTTCAGCTTTTGAAGAAATAGTTGGTCTGCGTGCTGAGTACAAACCTATGGTGGTCTGCCGAGTGTTCCATGTCAAGCTGAACATGCTAATTGATGAAATTCGAAGAAAAAATTACTTTGGCAGGACTTTAGCAAGTAAGTTCTCACATGTTGTTTATTAGTGACCTGATTATACTTCATATGTTAGTTTTATAGTGCCATAATGAATGACAAATAATCTATATATTAACAATGGGATGCATGTGGACAGTGAATCATCAGACTTTGCAGTTGCTGTTTGAGAAACAATTTCTTGGGAAATAAGATTGATTCACGCATTCCTTTTATAATTGCAGTCATGTATACTATCGAATTTCAAAAAAGAGGACTTCCTCATGTCCATCTGCTTATATGGCTTGCTGAGCCAGACAAAATCAAAACTGTGGCTGATATAGATGAGACTGTCTCGGCGGAAATTCCTGATCCACATCTTGATCCTGTTGGATATGAAGCAGTCATCAATAGGGATGGCAATTATGCCCATACCCATGGGTATTTTACTATCCAACCCAATTGGGTTGGGTATGAAATCCAAATATATGGATATGGGTAAAGTTTGATGGGTTTGTACCCATACCCATTTATTTTGGGTTGGGTTGGGTTTATAACAAATGGATTTGGATTTGTACCCATGCCCAAATACAATTACAGTTTGGTACCTAAACTTAATAGATATGCATATTTAGTACCTAAATTTAATTTTTTTTGCATATAAGTCCTCAAAATATCGATGGAATTACGTTTTGGTACCTAAATTTTTTTGGTCTTACATTTTAGTACCTAAAATTTTCAAGTTTTACAAATAAGTCCAATTTTTGCATGTGTAGTTAAGACACCCTCAAGTAAATGGATATCCATATCCAACCCATACCCATTTAGATAATATCTATATCTAACCCAAACCCATATACAAACCCCAAACTCATACACACATCACCCAAACCCTACCCATAATAAATGGGTCTACTTGGGTTTGGGCAAAATTACCCATGGGTGGGTAAATTGCCATCCCTAGTCATCAAGTTTATGCTCCATGGACCATGTGGGAGTGCAAACTCAACAGCACCGTGCATGAAAGATGGGAAGTGTTCTAAATTCTTTCCAAAAGAATTCAATTCAGAGACATCATTTGATAAATTTGGAAATGCCATTTACAGACGTCGAGATACTGGAATTCAGGTGGCAAAGGGTGATGCAATTCTTGATAACAGACATGTAGTTCCTTACAATAGGAATTTGTTGGTTCTGTTGCAGGCACACATAAATGTTGAGATATGTCATAGAGGAGCTCTTATTAAATATCTTTTCAAATACTTAACCAAGGGACCAGATAGATCCTTGGTGGTTGCTGAAGAGTCTGTTGCTTCTAGACCGACATCCTCAACAGATGTGGCAAGGAATAGGGATGAAATACAGGAGTATATTGACTGTCGATCCTTATCTTCCTATGAAGCAATATGGAAAATATACGAGTATGAAATACATCATAGAGAGCCTGCAGTTGTTCGACTTGGCGTGCATTTAGCAGGTCAGCAAAAAGTTCCATATAAAAAGCAATCAAGTGTTCGGAATGTCCTTAGGAACCCAAAAGCTGGAAAGACACACCTCACACAGTGGTTTGCTTTGAATAGAAGAGATCCAGAAGCAAGGAAGCTAACTTATGCACAAATACCGAATGCATACACATGGAGTGCAGATGAAAATGAGTGGACTGTTCGTAAGAAAGGATTTGCTGTCGGCAGAATTGCATATGTTCCTCCTGGAAGTGGCGATGTCTTTTTTTTAAGACTCATGCTGACAAAAGTTCCTGGGGCAAGAAGTTACATTGCTTTGAGAACTGTCAATGGAGAAATCTGCCCAAGTTATGAAAAAGCATGTGAAAAGTTGGGACTTGTATCCGACTCTTCAGAATGGATTCGAGTTCTACATGAAATCTCTGCTTCTAGCATGCCAAATTTAATAAGAAGTACATTTGTGTGTATGTTGATATTTTGTGAGATACCAAGTCCTCTGGAATTGTTTGAATCAAGCTGGAGATTCATGGCCGAAGATCATTCTCACTCTCTTAGAAAACAACTTCATTCATCAACTTTTCAGCCCTTTGAGGAAAGACTGCGTAATTGGGTTCTCCATCAACTGGATGCTTTGCTGGGATCCTATTCATCATCACTTGAACAATTTAACCTGCCAAAACCAACAGACTCGGCTGCAGACGATGGAACAAATTCATTACTCAATGACCATTTGAATTTTAATGTGCTGCAGCAACAAGAGCTATCAGATTCGCTGCTACGATCATTAAACGCAGGTAAGTTTGAAGCCTACTCAGCAATTATGCTTTCAATTCATGCAAATTTGGGGCAATCTCTCTTTTTGTATGGCCACGGAGGTACTGGAAAGACTTTCTTATATAATACCATCATTTCAAAGCTGAGAAGCATCTCGAAAGTTGTGATTGTTGTAGCTTCATCAGGAATTGCAGCTACTCTTCTTCCAAATGCTACAACAGCTCATTCGAGATTCAAAATCCCACTTCATTTGGACAACACATCAACTTGCTCAGTTAAAAAAGGAACCCACCTAGCTGAACTGATACAGAAAGCAGCACTGATTGTATGGGATGAAGCACCGATGACGCATAGGCAAGCATTTGAGGCTGTGAATAGAACCATGTGTGATTTGATGAATATACCTTTGGTGGGATCAGGGCATAAGCTGTTTGGGGGGAAAACCGTGTTGTTTGGGGGGGGGGGGATTTTAGGCAAACTCTGCCTGTCATTCCAGATTCTGGTCGAGAGCAAACAGTTGATGCTTCACTAATAAGAGCTGACATATGGAATTCATTCACTCTTCTCAGACTGTCAAGGAACATGAGGGTCAACAACTCATTAGTAAATGAATCAATTATTGCTCATGGATACGCATTTGGGGAATGAGTTCTTGCACTTGGTGATGGAAGACTCCCAGGAAAACGTTTCAAAGATGACACACCTGCTGACTGGATTGAAATTCCTGATACATTTTTGGTGCAGCCCAAAGTCAATCCAATCACCTCCATTGCAGAAGAGATTTATGAGAACTTTGCTGATTGCTACAGGAGAACAGAATACCTCACCTGCAGAGCTATTGTCACCCCAAAAAATGTCAAGGTCAGTGAAATAAATGACTATATGCTTCAACAAGTACCAGGGCTGGCTCGGTCTTATTATAGCTCAGATTCTATGCAGCGTGATACAGAGATACCAGAGAACTTTGGTGAAACTTATCCAATTGAATTTTGGGCTAATACCACTACAACACCCGAACTATGACGAAAATGCCACTTGTATCCTATTCTTTTCAATATTCCATCTGTATCCTGAACTATTATATTTTGTGTCATTTGTATCCTGCCAATTTCGTTGACTGTTAAAGATAACAGTTGACCAAACGACGGTCAACTTAACATTGACTTTTGCTGACGTGGCAGTGCCAAGTCATTGACACCTCACATTTTTAATTTATATTATATACAACTTTGAAAATAAAAAATTGAAAAACCTTTAAATTCAAGAATATTACTAAATAATATTCTAAAACCCCAAAATTCAAATAAAAAAAAAATCTCCATTGATTTCGTCGATTGTCCCTCTACTCTCTGCTTGGTGCTTTCCCGTCGATACTTCAACGACTTCTAAGTTGTGGTCGACTGCTCTTGCAGCGATGACGGAAGTGAGGAGGGAACTGCCGTGTGGAAGAGGGAAAGAAAGGAAGAGACGAGGTGGATGCGGCTAAATTGTCGCCGGGAACCGTCGAAGCACAAAAACAGGATGGCGCCGCATCTCGAACCTTCGAAATCTGGGAATACGAAGGTTGATGGAAGGCTCGTCGGTCTGAGAAGAAATCAGAGTGCGTTCGTGGGGGACCAGAGGTTGGGTTTACCCGCGGTTGTTTCTAAGTCGGAGGTAGCGATGATGTGGGGTTTGCTTGACTGGGGATGGAGAGAAGGATGAGGAGCGAGGGAGAGAACGAGGTGAATCCCCTCATCTCTCCACCAGTATCGGCAGCCGCCCTCGACCTTCTCCATTCCACAATAAGCTTCGCCCTCCTGTGTCCCGAAACCTCGTCGCCGTCTCTGAATTGGACTAGAAGATTCAGATCTCCAATCGCTGAGCTTGAGGAGCGAAGGAGCTTCGCCATCCATGGGTTAGGATCTCTTCAGATCTGGAGGTTGTTGCGGTGGTAGAGGAGAGTTAGGAGGTCGACGGCGATGAACACTGAGTGGGGATGAAGCTTTGCGGCGATGAGATCTTGGAATCATGCCCCTGGTCTCTTCGAGAACGACGATTCCCCTCCCCGACCTTCGATTCCCCCTCCCCACGACCTTCGGTTCCTCTCAGCTTGACCCCCCATCATGAATTCGACTAAGGTTTCGAATCTGGGTGTTGATGGCGACTTCCCGGATAGGGCTCCCGGCAGAGGGTTCCACCAGACGGCGGGAGGAGACGCGGAGAAGGGATTGGGAGGTTTTTATATTTTTTTATTTTGTATTTTTTATTAAATGAAAATTGATAATAAAAATTCAAGTCGGACGCCATGTCAACGCTGACTGGATTTTCTGTTAAATACTAACGGTCAACACCGGTCAACACTAACGGAATAATAGTTCAGGACACAGATGGAATATTAAAAACAATAGGACACAAGTGGCATTTTTCGAATAGTTCGGGTGTTGCAGTGGTATTAGCCCTTGAATTTTTAAATGCATTGACATTCAATGGTGTACCATATCATGAGTTAAAGCTGAAAATTCACACCCCTGTCATGTTGCTTAGAAATTTAAGTACATCTGCTGGATTATGCAACGGAACAAGGATTATGATTACTGAATTGGGTGACAACATTATCAAGGGGGTTATTATGGGTGGCACTTTTGACAAAGATGTTGTTATTATACCAAGAATTGTATTGAATGTGGAAGACAAGAGATGACCATTTATACTTAAGAGGCGTCAGTTTCCCATACATCTTTGTTATGCAATGACGATAAACAAGAGTCAAGGCCAAACACTTGCGAAGGTTGGGGTTTATTTGCCAGAATCTGTGTTTAGTCATGGCCAGTTATATGTGGCTGTTTCTAGAGTCAAATCAGCTGATGGTATACGATTTTTGATATCTAATATCAATGGCATTCCAGACAACTACACCAGGAACATTGTGTTTGCAGAAGCTTTTGAGGACATCAACACAGACAGAGCTATCGTTTCAAGAAAATAGCAGTGCATTATCTTACAATGCAGGTATGACTGACTTTGTTGTTTCTTTATATAACAGTGTTGTATTAACTCTTTTGTTGCAATATAGCACCTGAATTCTACTCATTTACAGCATATGTATTGTTTACCTGAAATACATGCATGAAAACACAAATACCATATAGCTATGACATTCCTCTGTGAAACCATGCCCATATCAAATGGTGTGATCCTTCATTCAGCACAAGCATTTTCAATTACCTAATTGCCTCCTTTTTGTTCTGTTTGTTTTAGTTTGGTTTCTTCTTTGGCATAAATGGAAGCAGAAGATGGAATGGTGTAACAGTTATGATCCTGAACACATTTTTGTAGCCTTCTGTCTATTTTCCAATGGCAGCTGTAGAAGAAATTCAAGAACCGCCAAAACACTGTTCATGACCATAGTTGGGGTACAACAGAAGGTCCATTGTCTCAGTTCAATGATTCCATGTATTCAAGGGTTTAAACTCTGACTATTGCTCATGTATGTGTTGGCCACCTTGGATCCTTCAAATAATATGGTTTCGGCTACTTCTGGTGATCTCATGGATAAGGAAGTGCCTCTTTTCTTGCTGCCTGGGTCAAAGATTATGTTTACTTTTGTTGCACCTGTAAAACCCTAATATTAACTACTTAATTACAATCAACTCACTTTCATCACGAGTATTGTTGCTACATATATATCTTTATCAAGTAAATGAAAACGTCTGATGTCCAATGATCACAAAATTCATATTAGAAATTTCAATATAGATAGTAGCAATAGACATATGGACTATTGTATGATAGTTAATCGGGGGGAAATGCATATTAGGTTTTCCACCATCAATGATTCACAATGGAACACCTGTCCCGGTGCGGAGCGCGGGCAACGATTACTAGTACAATTCAATATCCAAACCTTTCATTTTAAACAATATAATAGCCAAACTTTTTCGAAAACAATCTAATATCCAAATCGTCAACTTTCCGTTCGTTTGACCGTTGGTTGATACTTCAAAAAAGCTTTGTTTAGGGGAAATTGTCACAATACAACTTTGTTTTCTTGTTTTGGCATTGCAGATGACTGAATATTTAGATATTCTATACCATCATGGTGGAGTCATGGACTTCTCGGGTTTGGAACCACAATATGTTGGTGGATTTTCAGAGAAGATATCGATGGATATTGATGAAGCGTCGTACTTTGAACTTTTTTGAAGTGTCAACTAACGGTCAAACGAACGGAAAGTTGACGATTTGGATATTAGATTGTTTTCGAAAAGGTTTGGCTATTATATTGTTTAAAATGAAATGTTTGGATATTAAATTGTATTTACCCTTTATTTTACGATATATTTGGAAACAATTTCGTAACAAATAAATCAAAAATTCATTTCATTTGAAAATGAAATATTGTGCAGAATTCATTTTTAAATAAATTCCTTTGTTTGGTATGTCATATTCAAATTTTTAGAAATATAATGAATTGAATTTCCAAATCATGTGTGACATACGTTTAAAATTGAATCAAACTTAAAGTTTCCAACTACACCTTTATTAATTTCCAGCAGAAACAATATTTATTGAAATTCATCTTTAAAAAAGCCTTTGATCCCATAAGTAAAATATCAAAAGTGAGATTATGTGTTTCTATTGATTAGTTCTTTTCTAATATTTTGTTGATGAACCCTACACTCTAGTTGTGGCTTCTCAACGAACTCATATAATCGAAGCAGAAATATCAAATAACCAACATATGCTACTAGAATTGCAATCAAATTATTGTCGATGTTCCTCGTACTGTATGAGTTGGCCTCAAATAATATATGTAGAAGTAATTTAGTTAATAAATTATAATAATTATGTCATTTTATTATAATTGATAAATACTTGTGAAATTCATTTAGAAATTCCATCTCAATTCCTCAAAATATATGCATCTCACCCAAGATGAGACAAGTCCTGCCCACACTGCAAGGAAGAACCAGAAACAAGCCTTCACTGCCTTAGAGACTGCGGCATGGTCAAAGAGTTATGGAACAAGTTTGTCTCTGCTGCAAGGTCCATGAAACCGTACCGTATCGGCGGTTCAACCACAAAATACTAGTATCGGAGGCTAAACCGGTAGGCGGTATTTAACGGTACAACGGTTGAACTACGATAAAACCACGGTTTTACCATAAAATACCCTACAGCTGACTTTTCCGGTACGATCTTCGGTACGGTTTCATGGACCATGCTCTGCTGATCTCTTGGCCGAATTCTTCAGTGTTGATTATAATGGATGGATTCAATCCAACAAAAATGAGTGTGTTCAATGCACCCAACTTAAAAACTAGTCTTAAGGTGTCGGATTTTGAATTTTAATTTATTGAATTAGTGTAATATGATGATATAACATATGATAACAACTAATTAGCGGATTGCCCTAAGCCCTAGACCTCCAAATTTGAGTTCTATCCCTAAATCCCAAATTGTAAACTCTAACCCTAACCATAAATCTCTAAACTCTAAACCCTTCAAATTAAAGTAAATCTTTAATGGTTTTTGTGCAAATTCATGTGCGTTATTGTTCATCACATCATAAGTGATGATTGACATCATTTTGACATAAATCGCATGTTTCAAATGACAGTTATGAAGCGAGTGCACTAAATGCACCCAAAAAAGTGAGTGCATTGAAGACGCTAGCATACGTCCGGGCGTACGCTAACTTAGCGTACGCCCCATTGAGTTTTGCTATATAGATCATGAATTAATCGGAGTTTGGGGCATCATACTATACCCTAACCTCTAATGGGTGAACCCTAGTCCCTAATTTTCTAATCCAAACCATGAGGTTCGTTTAATCTTAAAATGAACACCAATGAAAATTTCGACGAATCAGAATCGTTGATTTTCATTTTTAAGATTAAACGAATCTCATGATTTGGGTTAGTGAATTCGGGACTGGGATTCACCCATTAGGGGTTAGGGTATAGTATCATGTCCCAAACTCCGATTAATTCTTTGTCTAAATAGCAAAACTCAATGGGGCGTACGGTAGGCTAGCGTACGCCCGGACGTACGCTAGCCTTTGCCGTATATATATATATATATATATGGCGGCGTCTTCAGTACACCCACTTTTTTGGGTGCACTGAACGCACTCACTTTTCTGTTTAATCGTATTCATTGATTACATCTAACGGTTACGATAATTTAATTTATTTATAATTAATTATTAACTAATAAAATATATTATATTTATTAAAGTACTTTAAACTTATTAATAATTGCAATTCGACCCCAAACCCTCTTCTTCCACGATTGTTTTCCCCTCTTACCCGTCAATACTTTTTCCAGTGGCCTGCATCGTCGTCCTCCGCCACCAGCGCACCAATCCGGCCATCGCTTGCATCAAAGGGTCGCCCTACAGACAGTAATACCACCACAACTACTTCTCCGATTTCAACTCTTTCCCCATAGAATTCTCCGCCAATAACTTCTAGTCTGAATTGCCGGCAGCCTCTTCAGCAATTGAGGCCCAGCCTATGAAAGTATAAATACAGGGAACAATAGTAATAATCCCCAATTCAAACTGTGGAGAGAGTTCCGTTTGCGAACTCGGTCTAGTCGGCACCGGCGCACCGCCGATAACCTTACCTTTGGCGACCTCAAATGCTACCTCAGCCACTCCGTCTCAATATATATCACGAAAACCATCGTCGGAATTCTCTTTCCCACCCAATTTCGTATCGCTTTCTCTCCTCCTTTCTCTTAACGCAAATACTATTGCTGATAATTCTTTTTCTCCTCACATCCGGCTTTCTACCGCAGCCATGCGGCTCATCAGGAGAAGATATGATGATTGAGCTCAAAATTGGATTCCCCTTTTTTATTGATCTTGTTCTCATGTCTCTTTTTTGTGCTTTCTTTCGGAGCTGATAGCTGGCGCTATTAATCAGAAGGAAGATGCCCTGGTTTGTTGATTGCCCTGAGGAATTTGGGTGATGAGAAATTCAGTTCGAGGAAATTGACCTATCTGATTTATCTTCTTTTAGGGTTCGATGTGGGAGATGGTGTTGGGGACGAAGTAGCAGATGATGTCAGGGAATCGGAATTGGGTTTTGCTCGGAGAAGGAGGAGGTGATAAAGAATCGGAATAACGTTCAGTGAAGTGGAAAGGGCTCAACGTTTGAGGGACTTTGAGGTCGTGGCTCTGAGTGAGAAGAAGCCGAGGAGGAGGAAACTCGACAGCTGTAGCGGGGAACATCGGACCTTCTTGCTCCTCGACCTCGTCGGCTCCAACATTGAATTGTACAAGGGGTGTATTGTCGGAGGCACCAAGAAGTTTGTTCTCAGTTGTCAGAGTTGGCGTCACCGTCACACTGAGATTGCGTGGCCGCCGCCGGCCAATCGATCTTCTTTTTGGGTGAGAGCGGCACTATTTGTTGTGATGGGAAGAAATCTGAATTTTCAAGAGAGTTAATGTTAGATCCTAAATTGCAATTATCAATAATTATAAATTATTTAAATAAATTGTATATTTATTAGTTAATAATTTATTGAAAATTTATAAATTATTGTCAACCGCAAGATATATCGAACGATCAAGATTAAACCAGAAAGTGAGTGCATTCAGTACACCCAAAAAAGTGGGTGCACCGAAGTGGCCACCATATATATATATATATATATATATATATATATATATATATATATATATATATATAT